CTGCCATTTTACGGTGGCACCAGAGTAGTGTGGAAACTTATTGAAGTTGATATAAGCTTATTCGCGGCCACTTTTACTCTCGTTAAAATGTAGCGGTACCCTATATTTATTATTTAATCTGTGACAGTACCAGACATTTGTACGTTTCGCACTGCTGCCCGTCGACGGTCTGGATATTCTACGTCTGTTGTAAATGAGATGGTACGCCGTAGTAGCGGTTATCTATACAAATAAATAAAATTGAAGTGTCTGTTTGTGATGTCAAAATTAGTTTTTTTACTAAATGCATATGAAAGCAAATACGGTACCTACTTATAACTAAAATACAATTTTTAATTTTTCTGTTTGTTCCAGCCATAGAATTATCAGCTCTCCGAAACGGCTGGACCGATTTTTACGGGACTTTCACTGGCAGGTAGCTAATTTCATAAGGAGTAACTTCGGTTACATTTATTTTATAAAAAGAATTATGGTACCGCGCAAAAACATAAAAACCCTAACACGCGAGCGAAGTCGCGGGGAACAGCTAGTAAAACAATATATTATATCAAATTAATATAAATAAATATATAGATTCATTTATCTCACTTGTGTAAAATCTATTCGCACGTCTGAGTTGATATTATTTAATCTACTACCGTTTTAAAATGAGATTCCTTCGTCCGGAGAAGAAATGACGAAGGAAACTCTGCAAATATCCTTTTTAACAAGTTTTTATTAGATTTGCGTGTATCTATCTATGTAAAGAAATATTTTAATGTAATTTTCAACAATTGTAGACAGGCCGATTGACTGATGACAATAATTTAATAAATTTATCCTAATATCCTGAAGAGGACCTCCAGCCAGAAAATTTTTTTTTACAATCATCACAACTCACGATCAATGCATGTTTTTTTATTTTATTTCAGTACAGTTCGTAAATTTTAATATTATTATTTGTAATTTTTTTAAAGCCAATAATATGATATTTTTTAATCAAAATTAATATAAACATAGGCATTCAAAGTACAGTTTACTACGACAAAAAAAAACTAAAATTACACAACAAAAAAAATGCAAAATAAATGTGTTGCAAACCTGAGCAGACCAGTCCACACAAGCCAGCATTATAGATAGATATGATTTATTGTAGCTTGGGTCTACCACGTAAAAAACTTGTTTAGTCGTTGAGAAAATGGAATTGACTCGAGAAAATTCAAGAGCGATGATTTATTATGACTTTCGAAGTGGTTTAACACAAAAACAGTGTGTTGACCGGATGATTTCTGCATTTGGTGATGAAGCCCCATTCATAACCACAATTTATCGCTGGTTTGCTGAATTTCAACGTGGACGTGTCAAGCTCAGTGATGATCCCCGTCAAGGTCGTCCAAAAACTGCAGTCACCGAAGAAAACGTTGATGCTGTGCGTAAGCTGATTGAGGAAGATCGACATGTGACATACCGCGAAATTCAGGCAACTTTAGATATTGGCATGAGTCAAACACAAATAATCTTGCATGAACAATTGGGTGTAAAAAAGTTGTTTTCCCGATGGATACCGCATTCGCTCTGTGAAGAGCAAAAAGCAGCTCGCGTTACTTGGTGCGTCAGAACTCTCGAAAGATTCCACGCAGGATCCTCAAATGCTGTATACAACATCGTATCAGGTGACGAATCCTGGATATACGCGTACGAACCCGAAACAAAAAACCAGTCACGAGTTTGGGTGTTCGAAAATGAGTTAAAACCAACAAAATTTGTTCGTTCACGGAGTGTTGCAAAAAAAATGGTGGCCACGTTTGTCTCCAAAACCGGCCATGTTACGACTATTCCTCTTGAGCGACAAAGAAACGGTTAATGTAGAATGGTATGCTAGCATTTGTTTGCCACAGGTCGTTTCTGAACTCCGTAAAGAGAACTGCAACCGCCGCATCATCCTCCACGACAATGCGAGTTCTCACACCGCACACAGAACAAAAGAGTTTTTAGAGCAAGAAAACATAGAATAATTAGACCATCCGCCGTACAGCCCCGACCTAAGCCCTAATGATTTCTATACTTTCCCTTAAATAAAGAATAAATTGCGTGGACAGAGATTTTCATCACCTGAAGAAGATGTGGACGCCTACAAAACGGCCATTTTGGAGACCCCAACTTCCGAATGGAATGGTTGCTTCAATTATTAGTTCCATCGTATGGAAAAATGTGTCAAATTTCGCGGAGAATAATTCGAAAAGCAATAAATACATTTTTAAATAGTAATGTTGTGTCACTTCCTTGATTCCCGAAATTTTCAGTGCCGCCCTTAAGTGGTATTAGCCATCGTAAAAGACTTTTTTTGCGTTCATTGTTTGAATTACATTCTTATGGTTCTTGAACTTACAATAAAGAACTGTGACTCTCGGTCGCTTTATTTCTCAATTAAAATTTGTGCATGTTTTTTTCAGTTTACTGCTTCGTATGGTGAGTGTAGAGAACCGGAGATCCTTTTTACTGGAAACGAATGCCTCGTTTCGAATAAAAAGGGTCAATCTTAGTCCTCACGGGTGACTGCATTTTGATTCTTAATCAAGGATAAATGTAGATATCTGTGGGCCACAGCAACCACTTACCATCAGGTGGACTGTGTGCTCGTTTATACCCTTATCTATACAAATAAATAAAATCAAGTATCTTTTTGTAATGTCAAAATAACAGGTTTTTACTAAATGCATTTGAAAGTATATATGGTACCTACTAATAACAAAAAAAACTCATTTTAACTTTTTTGTCTGTCTGTCTGTCTCTTTGTTCCGGCTAATCTATGAGACGGCTGGACCGATTTTAACGGGATTTTTACCTGGATACCTGATGTTATAAGGAGTAAGTTAGTTTTGTTTTGAAAAATAATTAGAGTTCCGTGCAAAAAAAATTTAATTCATGAAATCGTAGTATATTCCACGCGGGGGATAGCTAGTTCTATAAAAAACAACTTGTAACGTGGCATTTCGTCTTTGTGCATTTTGATCCTTAATCGAGCGTAAATGTCTATGGCCTGCCTATACATCATTCACTTACAATCACTTGGACTATGTGTGCGTATGCCACTAAGTTCGATAGAAAAATACCTTAATCACCTTAATGGAAATATTCAAAATTATGTTTTTTCACGAGCTTTTTTTTCTTCCGTAAAATTATGTGCCAGTTTCAGTATTAAAAAGCCAGTTTCGCGGTAATTAAGGCGCAAAATATACGTTTCTAGCGCGCTGTAAAAAAAATATAATAGCTCATTATGTGCAATAAAAAGTTGGTTAATGTTTATGTATCTAAGTAAAAAGAATCTATGATATATTAATCTAGTTAATTAAGTTAGAAGCTATGCTTGGTAAGCGCTTTATTAGTTTTCTTCAAATTAATTTATGTATGTATGACGTAAATAAGTATGTGTGACGTTCATGTCATTTTGATCTTCGAATAACCACCTACAAACTCCCGAAGCACTTTTTTTATAGAATAAGGGTGACATACGAGCACACAGTCCACCTGATGATTAGTGGATACTGTGACTCTACATTTATCCCCAATTAAGAATCAAAATGCAGATGCTTGTCACCCTTGAGGACTGAAATGGAATGCCGCAATTTCCAGTAAAAAGGTCTTCGGTTTTCTACACTCACCATACGAAACACAGCAGCATTAAGCTGCTATTTTGCGCTGGTACTCTATCGTGGTCCTTTTACGGTCGAGCTGACCCATTCGTGCTGCCACCACAATATAGCTGCAGTATGGCTCTACCATGTAAAAATGGTACGTACGTAAGTAAATGGCAGTATTATTTAATAGTAAAAGAGTATTGACTGTCTCGTTGGTCCCGTGGTGGTAATTGTAATTGCTAATCTGTTTTAGTTACAAGTCGGACGAGAAATCATAATTGCGGTTTTTTCATCAAGAAATACATAGTAATAGCCGGGAGTCAGGAAGTTGACAGTGTTAGTAGCATAAAGTCGTTGGTTCTTTACCCAATTTCTCTCCGTCCGTGTCGGATTGCCGCTTCATCGATCTATAAGAGTACGGGAATAGAGGGTGCACCTGTTCACAAAAAATCACTATAATCCTAAACAAATCTTCGTTGAGGCTGGTCGCCATGACCAAAGACCAGCAACAGTGTTTTCTGCAATGAAGACAGACTTGCTCAGCGAAGCCAGTATTTTCTGCAATGGGAAAACCATGTCCAGCCCGGACTACTACAGACTGATAAAGAAAAAGATGTAGGAGATAAAGTACTGCGATCTATAGCCATAAGGTCGTTTTGGCTTATCCCATCGTCGCCTCTTACGGACGTTCCTCCCTCCTACTGGACGAAAAAACGAGATGAATTATCTTAGCTGACACTATGTTGTAAATCTAATACTTATGGAATGAATAAGTAGATCATATGTTCATAGCGACCCACATGAAACCCACAACAAAATGAGATTTAATAAAAATAAACTATATTCTATCAAAATTACCATCGGCTTAGTATCAAATCTATAACTTTCTAGTGTGATAACAATATTGTATTTGAAGTTACAGCTTTAATCTAAAGCGTGTAAATGTTGTATCTTGAATACTGGTATGCAACTAACCTCCTTTTGTTACCGTGCTACGTTCCAATAATGCTGGCAACAATTCCACGACTTGATATTGAAATTAAAAAAAAACTGCAGTAGCGTGCTAAAATTTCGTGCACTATAGATTCATAATTGCATTTACAACTCGATAAATAATCTTAAATGCGTGCGAGCGCTCCTAATTTTAATAAGCCGTTCGAAATAGCCCTTCGGGTACAAAACCATGAATGTGTGTTGAATTAACGTCCAACAGTCTGCAATGTCATCTTGTTACACGTTTCCGAACGCCTTTTACTAAACGGCACATCCACCCGATATTATAAAGAAGCGGTTTTTGCGCCGCGCGCCTTCAGTCACCGCCGCGCTACCGAGCGAGACGCACGCTCTTGTAATGCAATAGTGGCAAGCCCACGCGCCGATAACATGGAGGGAACACCTCCAAGCCACACACAGGAACCCGACGAGGGCATCGCCTCCGATCGCCGCCCTTCCACCGACGACCACGCCGATCTGTCAGACACCGCGTCGGAAGCTGGCTCCGGTGGTGGCAAAGATTCGGGCTGTGAAGTCGCTCCTGACGCGCAGGAACCTCCGTATACTCCGCCCGATGATGACCTGGCCAATCGGATCGTTTCGCAAGTCGAGTTTTACTTCAGTGACGCGAACATCACTAAAGATGCCTTCCTGTTGAAGCATGTCAGGCGTAACAAGGAAGGGTACGTCTCTCTAAAGCTGATATCAAGTTTTAAACGCGTTAAGCATCTTACAAAAGATTGGAGGGTGGTCGCTGAGGCGCTGAAGAGATCCACAAAACTAGAGATTAACGAAGCAGGGACAAAATTGCGAAGAATCGACCCACTACCTGCGTACGATGAGACAACTCCATCCAGAACAGTAGTGGCTGTTAGGATGCCTATAGATAGACCAACAGTTGAGAATGTGTCAAGGTTATTCGCCAGCTGTGGCGAAATCGCGTTAGTTCGAGTGCTGAGACCAGGTAATCCGGTGCCAGCTGATGTGCGACAATTCCTAAATAAGAATCCAAGTTTGGTTAACTGTGTGTGTGCGTTAGTAGAGTTTACGGAGTCTGAGGCTGCTAGAGGGGCGTTGAGGCTCCAGAGTCCAGACGAGGATGGCATGAAGGTGTACGAACTGAACGGCGTGCCAAGGGAACCGAAGCGAAAGGTCCAGGCCCGACGGCTTCCACCGCGTCGTCACGAATGTGAATATTCTTCATGCTGTAGTGGTTCAGAAGCAGAATATGATTACAGATACGTAAATCCATTCTATAGGCGGAACTCCAGCGGCTTCTTCGCCCCTCGATCGCCAGAAATACAAACATGGGTGCCTCGGCGTACATCCACGTGTAGCCACAGTTCAGATTCTGGCGTATCATTCTTCTGTGGCTCAAGGCGAGCGTCGCAAGTGAGCACAGGCAGTGCTAGCAGTGCCGAGGGGTGGCTAGCAAGACGACTATCTGGCTGTTCCCTGTCCGGAACGGAGTGCGGTGGAAGGAGACTATCCTGTACCCCGCGCTTTGAGCCCCGGACGCCGCTGGTTCCGGACGGCACGAGAGGTTTCAACGCCGCGGCCCGCCAGCGAAGAATCTCGGACCTGGCGCTGTACTCGCGCTAGAAAGCGCTCAACGACCGTAACACCTTTCTAATCACGCCGAACTGCCTTTCACGTTCTGGCTGCGTAGTTTTTATTAACAAGGAAGCGTGTTCGCGTGTTTTACTTAATTATTGTATAGTTACCTAAACTGAAGATTGTGATGAGCTCATGTAGATATAAGTTATTTTAGATTTAATTATTATTTTTTGTATTTATTGATATTTATTGCAAGTTGTTAGCGGTTGGAGCGCGACGGCGTGGTAGAGTTTTCATCCTAGTATGTCAGAGTTGTAAGCACAAAACTGAATAGACAAAATCGACATCAAATGCGATTGTAGACTCCAAGATATATGGATTGTATTCTATAAAACTATGGCGGGACTAGATATGTCATGTGTTACATAAGCAGTAACGCGGACGCGCGTTTATGTGTAACAGAGAGAGGGCTGCGTAATTCGTTCCGCCGGACGAGATTTAAAAAAAAATCAGACCACGTCTTTGCTGAGCCGAGCGCAATGTTAAAATTTCTTTTTTTTATATTTAAGTCATGTAAGTCAGTCGCGCCATGTCATTAATATCATTGTCGTTTTTAATATATTTTTTTCTAATTTAATAAGTTTTGTTGTGATTTATTTTAGATAGTTCCAATGGTGAGTTGCGTAACGATTACTTTCTACTGCACCGAGAACGTGTGGTCAAATTGAAACGATTGTTTACAACTCAATTTTACTATATTTATTTGTAAGTACGAAGAGGTCTTATCGCTTTGGAATAATGCTTAATATTGCACAACAATTAGTGCTTTCATCGCGGACCTCTTCATTACCCTTATTTGTAATTATGTATGTGATTTTTTTGATAATATAAGTTTTTAAAGAGCTCGGAGTTTAATTAAATTCGACCTTCGTGGTAGAAAGTGGGTGTTTTCGACCCCGGCTCACCTTGACGATCGATTCACAGATTCTCACGGTGTGACGATTGCTCACGGGTTAATCGATCGAAAGATTTCATTAGCCATATTTTTTGCCCAGTGTTTTTGCCTCATTGCGGTGACCCTTTTTAATTTAATAAGAGTTTAATATCATTCAGTTCTTCACTACAGACACATTGATGAGATAGTCACGTTATTATAAGCACTAATGGTCGTCCAGGGAATTCAATAATAATTCATTAAATTTTATATTTGTTTATTAGCTAAGTTGTATTTCACTATCAACTGCAGATTTAAATATAAAATACAGATAATTATACAAAATATTAAAAAAAAAAGACACATTTTTGACTGAATTATCAACTGGTTCAATCAAACAGTTAGTAATAATTATTTGTTAAAAAAAATTAAAAATGTTTGGAGCCAATTATAACATAGTGTTCAGTAATAAACCGCAACTCACAAAATTTATACCGAGGCACAATGATCTGCTACGATCGGAGCGCCGGTCACACCTAGTGGCAACATTGCGACGTAATATGCGTTGTAATAATCTGTGGAGTTAAAAAAAAGAGAAGAGGAGGGTAGGAGGCGAGACAAGCCATACACACATTCTCTTTGTGTTCGTGATGTGAACATCTCTCCAAAAACTTAAAAAAAGGGACTACTCCAGAGTGTACCGTGTACAATCTAATTGCTAGTGTATTCTACCGTGTAGAAGAAGCTACCAGGAGCTGTCAACGTTTGCTGATCTTGGGAGGCTGGCTAGTAAGACCGTGAGTAGTTTGTTGCTGTTTTTGGTGTGATTTTGTGACTGCGGTAACTGAACGTTTCAGGGGATTTAGATTCTCAATACAGTCCACTATATCTAGTAAAATAATCCCAATCCGCCACATTTCTGGTCCTTCGAGCCGGATATATTCGAATTAGTGATCTTCGAATAATAATTTTCTACCCTTAATTCGCGTCCCGTGGACGTCATATATTTGAGTAAAACTACGCATTTAATTAATTTAATATCCCTTATTTAATTTGCCTCTTTTTTACCTGGATGTCCATTGCTCGCGGTGCGTTTATAAAGTATTCATTTTGTAATTTGTTCATAATGTCGGATAAATTACAAATAAAAAGGCAAACACTTATTTTTAAAAAGGAATACCTATTTGCTAAATTACAAAAGGTTTTCGATATCGCGAGATCCCAAATAAATGATCCCACACAAATTCAGAATTTCTTAGCCGATTATTCCGAATTAGAAAGTGTCCGCTCAAAGTTTGAAGAAACAGTGTTAAATATTATTGAAATAGATATATCATTAAAACCGGAGACAAGATTATCAACGCGAGAATTAGATACATTTGATGAACTTTATAAAGTATGTAGGTTGCAATATTTAAGATTAAAACCGGACGAGCAGGCATCCCTCAGTAGGAAAGATAGGAGTGATGTAAGGCCGTCATTACCTAAATTACGTTTATTTGACTTCGATGGTGATATTGAGAAGTGGACCACATTCTACGATACATTTGTATCACTTGTCCACAATCGAGATTTCGACGAAATAGATAAGTTTCACTATTTGCTTTCATGTGTTAAAGGTTCGGCATTAAACATTGTTAAAAAATTGCCCATAACAGCCGCTAATTATACTGTCGTATGGCAAAGTTTATGTAATAAATATCAAGATGATCGAATACTCGTGGGTAGGTACATCGACAAAATGATAAACTTTACGCCGTTAAATAAAGATACTACCGCAAATCTTACTTTATTTATCGAAACATTCGATCACTCTTTTAAAGCCATCGAGGCATTAAAAATTAAAAATTTACATGACTATTTATTTTGTCATTTAGCCTTACGTGGGTTGGATGCGCATACTAGGAGGCTTTTTGAAGAAAATCGGGATCAAAATTCACTTCCATCTTTTTCGGAATTAATTAGTTTTGTAAATAAACAAGTTAAAGTACTCGAACATTCATCGAATAGTACGATGTCGTTACAATCAAGAAATAAGTCTATATGTAACAATTACAAAGGCTACAATAATAACCACTACAAAAGTTATTCAAAGACAGTTTTAAATACTAATGTGTCGAATTATAATAAAAATAAAAAAATAATTTGCGCGCATTGCAATCAAAATCACATGATTTATAGGTGCGATCAATTTCGTAAATTGACCGTAGATAAAAGGATTGACCGTGTCAATACCTTAAAATTGTGTCATAATTGCCTAAAAGGAAATCATGATACCTCAACTTGTAAAAGTGAGATGTCTTGTGGTGTATGTGCGTCACTACATCATTATCTATTGCATAGGGAGCCAGTGAGCGACACGCTCGTGCCAACATCCACCCGTCCATTGTGCTCTGACTCGCAAGTGCAACAAGCACTCGTCTCGTCTCAGGCTATGAGTGACTCAGAGCGTTATACGATAGATACGCTTCATTCCAATAACGTTCACTCGGGTTACGGTGTTGTATTGGGAACGGCGCGTGTGTTAGTAATTGATAGTAGCGGCCAGCTTCAATACTGCCGTGCAGTTATTGACTCTGGAGCTCAGAGCTCATTTATTACAACTGAGTGTGCTCAACGTTTGGGCTTACCTCGAAAGAAGTGTTCGTTTAATATTTATGGTCTCGGTGGAGAGGCTGTAAAAAATCACGGCATGATTACATGCACATTAAGGTCCCTACACACTGACCTACCTAGTTTTACACTGAACATGGTCGTAGTGACTAAGGTATCTGCTGATATGCCTAACGTTCGATTCCACTCGGACGTTATTAATAAATATAAGAATTTTAATTTAGCTGATCCATTATTTTATAAGCGTTCGCGTATCGATATACTATTGGGCAATGATATAGTTTCGGAACTAATTAAGGATAAACCTTATATTATTTCATCGGATATACCAAGCGTGATCGATACCGCTTTCGGGTTTGTTGTAAGTGGTAAACTTTATAGCAATGATAAGGACAATTTAAAAAATTATAATTTATCAGTCTCATTTGATGAACAAGAGTCTTTAGATCAAACGTTGCGTAAGTTTTGGGAAATCGAAGAATTGCCAAGCAAACCCTCGATTAATCCTTTGGAACAATTAGCGGAAGACATTTTCGTGGCTCGTTATAGTCGTACTGAGGATGGTACCTATTCAGTGCCGTTACCATTCATACCAGACCCGCCTCCGTTGGGCGCGTCACGAGCGGCAGCCGAGCGGCGACTCTTGTTCACCGAGCGCAAGTTGAATCGTTCACCTGTATTACGACAAGCCTATTCAGAGTTCATGTGCGAATATGAAAATCTAGGGCACATGGAGCTTTATTCGGGGGACACCCCAAGCAAATATGTGATACCTCATCACAGTATACTTAAGCCCAGTAGTTCCACTACTCCTTTGCGTGTGGTATTCGATGCCTCGGCTAAAACGTCCACGAACGTTTCGCTTAATGATATTCTATTGACCGGGCCTAATCTGTATCGAGATATTGGGGCTATAATATTGAATTTTAGGTTGTTTGAATATTGTTTGATTTGTGACGTATGCAAAATGTATCGGGCAATTAAACTGAATCAGTCAGATAGATGTTATCAACATATTTTGTATCGTCATTCGCCTAACGATGCCATTGACGTTTATGAATTAAAAACTGTCACTTACGGCTTAAGTTGCTCACCGTTCTTAGCTATCCGCACCCTCTTACAGTTAGCCAATGACGAGGAAGAACGTTTCCCACTCGCTGGAAAGGTTGTGCGCGAGGGCGTGTACATGGATGACATTCTATATTCTTGTAGTTCATTGTCACAGATATCTCGGTTACAAGATGAACTTTTAGAGATGTTTAATTCCGGTGGCTTTATACTCAAAAGGTGGGCGAGTAATAGTGCAAAAGTTTTACAACGCGTTCCGTTAGAAAACCGAGAGTGTCCTGTTACATTTATGAAAGATTGTAACGAATATTCAGTCAAAGTGCTAGGTCTGAAATGGTTCCCTTTGACTGACTGTTTTTATTTCACAGTAGATAAGACTGATAAAGTAACAACTAAACGTTCTGTTTTAAAATTATTAGCTTCTATTTAC